GCACACACACACACACACACACACACACACACACACACACACACACACACACACACACACACACACACACACACACACTTATTACCATTGAAATCAACAAATCACATGTGAAAAATAGAATCTGGGACTGGGAATCTGCCAAGGGACTTGATTAGGGGCAATACAATATGTTTTGTTTGTGAATATAAATTTAGGATGTTAGACAAGATTGTTTGTTTGTATAATTAAATTCCTATGATGATTAGATTGGTTCTAGTTGGGTTTTTTTATATTTATAAAACATGATATCTGGACACTTTTGTCAACATTTCATTCAATATCTAAATATTCCAAAAAAGCACATGCTCTAAATGGAGTTTACTCTTGTCAACCATGTGACTACCAAGCCTGACATATTAATTTTTTTTGTTGTGGCTGTTTATGTATAATCCTCAGATTTTTTAATTTTTTTTAATTTTAGGAATGGAACATGGGACAAAGGGCCTCAGATACCCGAGGTGTTATGTTTGAGGATGTAGAAGTGCCAAAAGAGGTATTATCAAGTTTAAAAACTCTAAAATTTTATATTGGATTCTTTTTGAAGGTTTCATTACACGTTAAAATCAGTTTTCGAGTAAATTGATTTAGTGAAACCTACAACCCCCAACAACAGTCCTGGTTTTTAATTTTTTTTTGGTTCACCAAAGACTAAATAAATTTTAAAAACATTTTCCTTTTGTATTTTGTGGTGTCCAAATTTGTACATGTAAAATACCGAGTTGTTTTGTCAAAAATTATGGGAAGAATTGGGAAAAGTCAATCAACATAAAAATATTGAAATGCAAGAATTTAAGGTGAACTTGGTTTGTTCTCACCATTTAAAATTGTTTTTTATTACCAGAATCTCTTCTTTTTTCCGTACGTGTACTTCTTATTAATGTTTCCTTGGACTTCATTGAACATTTAATTTGTTAAGGTTTTAGTAGCTTCCTTTGTTATCCCCCAGTGGGACAGCAGTAAGTCTATGGATTTACAGGGCTAAGATCAGGGGTTCAGTTCCCCTCAATAGACACAGCAGATAACCCGTTGTGGCTTTGCTATAAAATAACACACTCTTTTCTTTGTTATTACTATTTTGAAGTGATTATTACTATAGATGCTTTTGAACATTATGAACAGTTGCTATACTCTTTAAAGAAAATACATTTTGAATTACAGAACACTGTAAAAAGAGAACTTGATATGGCTGATAACTTTGTTTTTAACACATTTGCGAACACTGAACTTGTATTAAAACCAAAAGTTTTGCTACTAATTATCACTTACCAGCTTTCATTGGGAGCATGAATAATACACAGTCGGAGATACACACATTTTTGTGTAATTCTGACCAAGTATGATGCCTATTTTTAAAAGATGCGTGTTATGTTTTTGACCCTATACAATGAATGATGCAGTTGTTTATTAATCACACTTGCTTTTTAGAATGTCTTGATTGGTGAAGGAGCTGGTTTCAAGATTGCTATGGGTGCTTTTGATATGACAAGAGCTCCTGTAAGTAGAAATTTTACAAACTAAGTTTATGGCTTTCAAAAATTTGGAGGTAAACTTTTTTATCACTTAAGTAAAGGTCATTTTAAAAAAATTTAATGTGTTGATATAAACTCAAAGCTATGACACTGAGTCAAATAAAACTTGCTTTTTCTTTAAAAAAACAAAAAACAAGCTTACCTTGCAGTTTTCACAGACAAATACTTAGTTTCTGTGAACAAGTCAAATGTCAAAGATGTTTTAACCTTCAGTATACTTTTCTAAATAAATAATATTGATTTGGCAAAATATTTTTGTTCGCTAAAAAAGCCAGAAATATGATGTTTAAATATTATTAATACATTTATTATCATTTTTTGGTTTATGCCTAATTTTGTTTACCATCAGTGTTTAATGCTTCTTTAAAGAAAAAAAAATTTAACTTTTCACTACATAATTTCATCAGCTGATGGTGGTAATTTTACTTTGTGAAGGGGCACATTATTTTATTTACATGATCATAATTTTGGTTATTTGTGTGGTTAGTGACATGATCTACATATTTTATTTTTTTACAAATCATTAACATTAGTGCTATTTAAGTCATTAATTTTCATTTAACCCAGTCTTATTCTATTAAGAAGACATTCCACTCACTTCTCAACGTCAGTGAAAACTTTAGGTGACATAGATCAAGTTCAGCCAAAATTAGGCCCTTTTTTTTTTTTAAAGAAGCATTAAACACTGATGGTAAACAAAATTAGGCCCCCAAAAAAGCTAGCGTTTAAGTGAGAATGTAATTTAATGTAGTGTAATTTTATATATTTAAGAAAAATTTAGTAAAATTCATTATAGTGCTCTTAGATTTCCAATTCAAAGTCAAATTAGCTCTAGTAATTCATATCTGTATGGTTGCTTTGTATAAAAACTTAAAGAATAATTTGAACTCATTGAAACAATTTGAAGACTTAGCATACTTTGTTAATACTTGTTTGAAAGAGTTTTCATCAATGTGTTTGTTTTATAGTTTTTCTGTTTTTAATTATCCCGTCAATTAAAAGTAAGATTCTTTAAAGGTGTATGAGGAGCTGAGTTTCTAGCTTCACTGGGTGTATTTTTAGAACTGTAAAATAAAGTGTATTGAGGGGGATATGACAATTTTGTGATATCAGCCATATTGTCTGTATAACTTGAATTTTACTAACACTAGGTGGCTGCGGGTGCTGTAGGCCTTGCACAAAGGGCTTTCAATGAAGCTACAAAATATTCATTGGAACGTAAAACATTTGGTAATCTAATTGCTGAGGTAAGATTTGAGGAATTTTATTGTAGTGGAACTTAGGTTAAATCTTGTGTTTCCAGAGATTTTTGAGTGACTAAGAATAGGTACATGAATACATGAACCATTGCTTGAAAATTACTGATATTTCTTCTACAATAGAAATGTGCACTCGAATAATATTAAGTAAAGGAATTAATGAGAACAGTGCATACTAAAACATTGCTCTAATGATGTGTAACAGTAAAATTTCAATTGTAGTTAACATATAATTGTTTCAAGATGTTCTCTTTCAAGTAATTTTGCTTGACTTCTTTGTTGCATTATTTCTTTGAAAATATGTTATTAGTCAATAGAATTTTACTCCAGATCACAATATCAGAAAAAAACAAGTTTAAAAAAGAAGTAGTCTATTAAATGAATCTGTTTAAACAGGTTAAAAAAGAAGTAGTCTATTAAATGAATCTGTTTAAACAGGTTAAAAAAGAAGTAGTCTATTAAATGAATCTGTTTAAACAGGTTAAAAAAGAAGTAGTCTATTAAATGAATCTGTTTAAACAGGTTAAAAAAGAAGTAGTCTATTAAATGAATCTGTTTAAATGGGTTACAAAAGAAGTAGTCTATTAAATGAATCTGTTTTGATACTGTAATATTTGAGTTTACTGAACTAGTTTTGTGATATGAATTAATAAGATAGTTAGCTAATAAGATAGCTTAAATTATTATCAATATTTTGATGACCTTCAATCGGTGATATGTTTAAACTAAATGCTGATATGTTTAAAAAAATCTGTTTATGTATGTTTATACACAGATTTTTTACACACACACACACATACTGTTCATATAAAAATTAAAACATTGCAGGAAGTATTTTGACTACTTATCGCAGAATGGATTGTGTAGTTTGTTTGACTAAATGAAAATTTATTTTCAACATGTTTCTAGCAATTGAGTTTACTTCAATGTAGTAATTTACCTGTTAATTCTGAAGAAGGTTACCTGTGCATGTTTAAATATAATTTCTTCACTGTGCAGCACCAAGCTGTTCAGTTCATGTTGGCTGAAATGGCTATTGGTGTCGAAACAGCCAGGTTGGCATGGATGAGAGCAGCATGGGAGATCGACCAGGGCAGGAGAAATACATACTGGGCATCCATTGCTAAAGCCTTAGCCAGTGATGTAGCTAATAAATGTGCTACTGATGCAGTTCAGGTGAGATATTTGTTTGGTACCACTTATTATATTTACAGTATTTTGTGTTATCAAGTGAAATAATTTTTTTTTCTCTAGCGACATTGAGATTGTTATTTTAAGAGACCAGGTTGCTGTAAAAAATTCTTCTAATACACAAAATTTAGGGAAATAGTTCATAGAAAGGAAGATAAAAATTAGCTTGCATGTTGTCTTTTATATATGAGCTACAAATTGGATATGCTTATTTACCTTGATACTTATTTTATTATGAATGATCCAGCTATACTAATAACACTGTGTATTGCTGGGAAACATCCCTGCTGGTGATCAAAGCTAATTTGTTAAGGGATATTCTGTTGTTAATATGAAGAAATCTGTTAGTTAACTTGAAAGGATGTAATATAAATGATCTGTGAAATTACATGTCTGAGAATAAATTTTATTACTTAAAACTGCCATGCATTTAATCTTACTTATGTAACTGTAATCTTCTGTGCATATATTTCAAGTATTTAGTTTTATTACCATCTTAATTAAAATACAAATGAAAACATACTGTCAATAAATTAACCATCATTCTATGATTTAAAAACTTAACTATATCATCTAGTGAAGTCAAATTTTAGCAAACATACAGAAACCTCATTATAATAACGCAGTTGCTCTTGGTATTTACTATTTAAGCATTCTTTTACATGCTCACAGAGAAAGATACAGACTAGAAGTACGCTAAACAGCTAAATTTGAAATACTGAAGAAATTTATATTTAACACCTTGGAGGTTCATGATTTCTTGAGCAGCGTAAATAATGTTGGATGAAATGTGAATGAATTGACCTTGTACTAACTGCAAGACCATGTACAAGCATAAATGCAGAATCAATGCAGTGGCCATGATTTGTATATTACTACTAGACCACCGTGACCCGTTGGGTCACCCACTATTCAGAGGTTATGAAGAATTCAAGCTAGTTTTAATATTGCACCAAAATGAAGGTTTATTTTGAGATAATTAAATATTTCAATCCATTCGTGTTATTCATAATTCAAGAAAAGATATTTGATTGTTGATCGGGAGTAAAAGGAAAGACCATTTAATTTTTCAAAGAAGATGAAAACATTGTCAGGGAAAAAGATTTGAATGAAGAAGTTTCGTAAAAAGTGCGAATGGTAGTGTGATGTAAAATTACTCATGCTAGAAATTTTTATAAAAGTGACCTGAAAAAGTGGCGTTAACTCAGTAACCCCTGGCCTGATTTTAACGAAACTTGTTTTATTCTGTTTCTATTCTCATTTCATTACAAATATGGCGCTATTGTGTGCCGATTTTGCTGTATTTAATTACAAACAAGCGAACAATCTGAGTTCTAGTAGTAAGTAGATAGATAAACCAATATGTGGTGCCATCTAGTGTACCTAAATTCATCTAGAAATTTTCATAAAAGTGACCCAAAAAACGGCACCAACTCAGTAACTCATGGCCCGATTTTATTCTGTTTGTTTTATTCTGTTTCCATTCTCATTTCATTACAAATATGGTGGTGCTATTGTGTGCCGTTTTTGCTGTATTTAATTACAGACAAACAATTTCAGAGTTTAGTAGTATATAGATAGATAGATGATACTACACTGGTACACTGTTCTGAACAAACAAAAATGTACAATGTATTAAATATAATAGTCATCACACAACAAGTGGTAAAAAAAAAGTGGAATGTTTCTGTCGTATACAGTTACAGTATTAATCGTAGCTAAACATCATAAACTAGAGACTGACTTATTTTAATCACCATTTAAACACAGATTAAACTTGTATTGAATCACTTAATAAATTTGTAGTTACTAGTTAGCCTCTTGGAGATTTGTGATTTCTCAAGCAACATGAACAAACAAAAAACACTGTGTGTCAAATTAAAAAATACATCTATCCATTATGTCATAGGTCATAAAGAAATGGAATGTTTCGATACGAATTTGTAGCTAAGACAAATTACAGTAATTTAGCATTGACCATAGTCATGACATCTTAAAGTTCTATAAGAAATGTAAAACAGTCATAAAGAACTCTTAAATTAGTTCAGTTGGCAGTCATTTGACATCTTTATCAAATTTTCTACTAATAGTTAGACTGCACAGTTGAAAAATGTTTCTGTCAAAATGAATTATGACGTTAAAACATTAGCAAGTTGATGGCACAGTCAGGAGTCAAGATGTATAAAATATTTACTAATCATTTTGATTTCTCTTTATTATGGAACACAAGCGATGTTGTTTGTCCAAAAATGTTTAATATAGCTTTTAAATATGCATTTTAGAACACACAAAAGATATCACACACTGGCATAGAGTGTCCCAAACTACTATAATTTCTCTAGCTTTATAACTAATCTATAAATAGGTTAAACATTTTCATTGCAGCTCGGCGCAGTTCTTTTAGCCTAACCGTGTCAAGTTTTTATGGTAAACAGTCAGGTTTTACTGCTGAAACAAAACAGTCATCTGTTTTATGTAGTTTAGAATTTGATCTTTGTATTGGTTATAAACGTATCCAATAGCAATGTCAAAGAGAATCGTAGTAGATATTTCTTAAAAGACCGTATATGTGAGTGGCATTTCCCGTACCAGTTGAGCAAGTATAGGGATTTTTAGTACCTATCGTACGTGTTTCTAAGTCTGAAGCATGTACAAGCAAAGATAAATATATCTATAATTGAGAAATCGGAGCATCCCTACATCATGACTCGGAGGTACAGATTGAGAATTTTGAATATTTCATTTTGAAATTAAGAATTTGAAACTTAGATAATATAAAAATGTGAATTACAAACAACATTTTTATGCCAAGTTTATTAACATGCATTGACAATAAAGTAGTTTAATTAAATTTTGAATGTAACTCTGTAAAAAAAACATTGTGACATGCATTTTGACCTTCTCATATGCACAGGATTTATGTGGATGACATTTCTGATTTCAATTTACAACTTTCTTGAATTTATTTCATGCTATAAAGCTTGGTATCAGGTAAGATTTGACTACATAGCATATCATAAATTTGCTAAAGATGTTATATCTTTTAGATTGGATCATGTCTCTTGACTAACATGGGATTTGTTTTGCTTTGACAAAACTAAAAGTAACCAGTTATTTTAGGGATAAGTATCCAGATAGAAATCTTCAAATGAGAATAAGTTTTAAAGCACAATTTTATTATGTTGCTCTTGTTTGTAACTCAAGTGATGGAGAAGGTTATGTGCCCTATTGATTTTAAAAGGTGCGTGTGTTTGCTCTCACATTTTTCTGTTCAATATAACTGCTCTCTTTGACTTGGCAGTGAGATGTGGTTGTATTTTGGTATGGTAATGACTTATTCTTCTCTCATATTTGAAAAAGTTAATCAACTCTTTGACTTGGCAGTGAGATGTGATTGTATTTTGGTATGGAAATGACTTATTCCTCTCTCATATTTGAAAAAGTTAATCACTTTTAAATTTATTTCTGTTATTATGTAGTATAGTATACTCCTTGAAGCTTATATAACAAAGAATGTCTTAGCTGGTAGACATTTATACATCATTTGATGCTACTAGTGTATTCACGCATCCATAGTTATCTTGAAATTTAGCAATATCCTTTTATATAAGGCTGTATTTTTATTCAGCTTTTAGTACATTTTAGCTAGGACATTAAATGTATTTTTGTTCAAATTATTTGTTTATAGGTGATGTGCATTTATTTTGGCAATGCGGTATTCAGCATTTTAATGCTTATTTATCATTTTTATAATTCTGGTTTTTAATAAAGTTTAGTTCTGTCATTGGTGAGTATTAACTAAATTTTGATATTTCATGTTACTGAAAAAAGGAGTGGACTGATAGGAAATCGAAAGCTCCTGATGAAGCTGTAATAGTGAAATATTAAGCTAATAAATTTACATTCTGGAGATATAGGTCATTATTTTATATACGTTTATAAAAATGTGTTGTAATACACTCCACTTTGCGTTAAATAAAGTAAAGAATAATAATTAGTTTGAATCTTCTTTTATATAGGGTACACATTTATTGTTTAAGTCTGAATTAGATTTAGAATGTACTAATTACATTACTTCTGTTTATTACTACGCCATTTTTCTCTATAATGCTTTTCTTGAATTTTATAAGTATCTGTTTTTTTATTTATACTAAATGTTACTTTCTTAACTTTCATACTTTGTTCTCTATAAAGCTTGATTGGGGTTTTAAATTTAACCCTATTTGTAATTGCTTCTGGTTTAATTTTTTTCTTCATTTTTTTTTGTTTTTTTACATAGATCTTTGGTGGAAATGGCTTCAACTGTGAATATCCGGTTGAGAAGTTGATGCGCGATGCAAAAATATTTCAGGTAGGTAAATTATGAAAAAAAAACCTTGAAGACTAAACCTATACTTTGGGCATAGATAATTTTTTATACTTGTATAAAACGTCTAGCTTTGAGATGTCATACACTTTACAGTATTGGAAAGAATTATAAAAATGCATAGGTGGTGCACTTACATGAATCACACAGACTTAGTAACTGCAACTAAATGGTCAGTTTATCATTAGTATGTTATTACAAAAAAAAAAAATGAATATTTTGTTTTTGCTTTAAACAAAGCAGTAAACTTTGTTTGTATGCTACCATAACTTTATCAATGTATAGTTGTTGTTTAGTGTTAAAATGTGCTGTATTACTCCCCAAAATTCACCAAATTTGTGTGGTTGCTGGTTGATCATCTCAGTTTCCATATAATCCCTGTTTACTGTTAAATGTGCTGTATTACTCCCCAAAATTCACC